CACACGACCTGACCTTGCATACCCTCTTAGCATCCTTGCACGCTATGTCGCTCCTGGCCGTCACAGGAAGGAGCACATGGATGCCGCTAAGAGGGTGTTGCGCTACTTGTGCAGTACGTCGGGCATGGGGCTTGTGCTTGGAGGGCGAGACCGAGTTGTTCTCACAGGGCACTCAGACGCTTCTTGGGCAGACGACCAGGCCACTCAGCGGTCGTCTCAGGGTTACACCTTCAGCCTTGGCTCTGGCTCAGTTTCTTGGCGCTCTACACGCTCTTCTTCTGTTCTCGGCTCCAGTTGCGAGGCTGAGATCTACGCTACAGCCATGGCTGCCCAGGAGCTATGCTGGCTGACCTACCTGCTGACCGACCTCGGAGAGCGGCCTCGTTCTCCTCCAGTGCTGTACGTCGACAACAAGGCTGCCATTGCCTTGTGTGAGGAGCACAGACTGGAGCACAGAACGAAGCACATCGCCCTGCGGTACTTCCTTGCTCGTGAGCTGCAGCAGCGCGGTCAGCTTTGTATTCGCTACGTGGCCACTGAGGCCAACACTGCTGATGTGTTCACCAAGGCGCTTCAGCCTCGTGACCATCAGCGCTTCTGCACTCTACTAGGCCTTGTGCCTACTGGACCTCACTTGCTTACCTCTTGACTTTGCTTGTACTGTGATCACTATATATATCTATACCTGCATGTTTACTCTTGCTAGGTTGTGATCACTGTATCTCTTGCTCTGTTATAAACTTGCATGTGAACTGGTCTTGTGACCACTAGCTTGTGCTCGGAATTTGTGTGGAATCCTTGAGATCCACCCTGAGCTTGTTGTTGCCTTGCTTTGCCTTGACTGGTCTTGTGACCCCTAGGTCTCCCCCACTTTGCCTATGGGGGTGTGTCAAACATTATACATGTTGTATTTGTGTAGGCTGTAGTGGGTTAGCCTATAGGGGGGTCACAAATTTAGGGTTTCATATTTGTACTCACAATCCTTGCTAGTCCACCATTCCAGTCCGTTCTCGTTGACAAATTTTTACTGCCTACGGTTCTTTATTGTAGTAGTTCTACTTTTATTGAAGTGTACCACTTTTGAGGCGCCTCAAAAGTAGACTTCTATTGTACAGATTATGCTCCCATTGAAGTGTACCGCTTTTCGGCTTAATACGAGCAGAACGCGAGATGCGTACACCGCCATATTGCCACACTGCGACATTGCCACATTGCCACATTGCCACACTACCACACTGCCATATTACCAAAGAGCCACATAACCCAACCTGTCTCGCCCCACTTCACCCTCCCACTCCACTGCCCTTCAAGCATTCTGCGTTGCACTTACAGGTGCTGCCACGGGGCGACTTTCACCCACCAAACATGCTGCATTGCACCCATGGGTGCTGTTGCTGCTCCTACAGCATCAGGAGCTGTGGCAGTGTCACTGTCACTGCCAAAGCTCCTGATGGCAGTGACAGCATTACCACCTTTAATGCCACTGTCCCTCCCTCCTCCCATTCCTCCTCCCAACCCTCCCATTCCTCCTCCCATTCCTCCTCCCAACCCTCCCATTCCTCCTCCCAACCCTCCCATTCCTCCTCCCATCGCCCCGGTTCAGGTATGCGTCATGTCCGGTGCTGGTGAGGGTCGGGTCAGGTACGCCTCAGGTCCGGTGCGGCTGAGGTTCGGTTTAGGTGCTCGGTCGTCCCCTCAAACCACCATCCACTGCAATCAGAACCTCTCCCTCATCCGACTGCTCCGTTTCCTCTTGTTTCCCACACACTGCAGGCAAGGCGCTCTCTCCTTGGCTCTCATTTCAATCTCCGCCTCTCCCTCATGCGACTGCTCCGTTTCCTCTTGTTTCCCACACACTGCATGCAAGGCGCTCTCTCCTTGGCTCTCATTTCAATATCCGCCTCTCCCTCATGCGACTGCTCCGTTTCCTCTTGTTTCCCACACACTGCAGGCAAGGCGCTCTCTCCTTGGCTCTCATTTCAATCTCCGCCTCTCCCTCATGCGACTGCTCCGTTTCCTCTTGTTTCCCACACACTGCAGGCAAGGCGCTCTCTCCTTGGCTCTCATTTCAATCTCCGCCTCTCCCTCATCCGACTGCCCCGTTTCCTCTTGTTTCCCACACACTGCAGGCGCAGCACTCTGCCACGGGTGAGTGGGTAACTGCAGGTGGTGTTTGTGCACTATCAACAGCCACCATCCACAGCAGCGCACTGCCACGGGTGAGTGGGTAACTGCAGGTGGTGTTTGTGCACTATCAACAGCCACCATCCACAGCAGCGCACTGCCACGGGTGAGTGGGTAACTGCAGGTGGTGTTTGTGCACTATCAACAGCCACCATCCACAGCAGCGCACTGCCACGGGTGAGTGGGTAACTGCAGGTGGTGTTTGTGCACTATCAACAGCCACCATCCACAGCAGCGCACTGCCACGGGTGAGTGGGTAACTGCAGGTGGTGTTTGTGCGCTATCAACAGCCACCATCCACAGCAGCGCACTGCCACGGGTGAGTGGGTAACTGCAGGTGGTGTTTGTGCACTATCAACAGCCACCATCCACAGCAGCGCACTGCCACGGGTGAGTGGGTAACTGCAGGTGGTGTTTGTGCACTATCAACAGCCACCATCCACAGCAGCGCACTGCCACGGGTGAGTGGGTAACTGCAGGTGGTGTTTGTGCACTATCAACAACCACCTGTCACAACAGCCACGGGTGAGTGGGTAACTGCAGGTGGTGTTTGTGCACTATCAACAGCCACCATCCACAGCAGCGCACTGCCACGGGTGAGTGGGTAACTGCAGGTGGTGTTTGTGCACTATCAACAACCACCTGTCACAACAGCCACGGGTGAGTGGTTATTGTTTCTCTTTCCTCTCCTCAGTGCTATGGGTGAGAGAGGGTAACTGCAGGTTGTTTTTAAGCATTTTCAACAACCACTTGCCACAGCAGCTCACTGCTACGGGTGAGTGGGTAATGATTACCTCTTGTAACTGTGCGCCTACGAGCATGGGCCTCTTGATTTCCCCATAGCATGGGCATCTTGATTTCCCTATAGCATGAACCTCTTAGTTTCCCCATAGCACGAGCCTGCTGATTTCCCCATAGCATTGGCCTCTTGATTTCCCCATGGCATGGGCCTGTGGATCTCCCCAAAGCCACAGCACTGCACTGTTATGGGTGGGTTACTGATTTCCCCTCGTCTAACTGTGCGCCTGGGAGCATGGGCCTCTTGATTTCCCCATGGCATGAGCCTGTTGGTTTCCCCATAGCATGAACCTATGATTTCCCCATAGCATGAACCTATGATTTCGCCATGGCATGAACCTATGATTTCCCCATGGCATGAGCCTGTGCTTTCCCCATAGCATGAGCCTCGTTATTTCCCCATAGCACGAGCCTAATGAGTTCCCCATAGCATAAGCCCATGGATTACCCCATAGCCACAGCACCGAACTGTGATTACTAATTTCGTAATGCTGTGATTACAAATTCTGTGGTTGTGTGTTACTAGTTCTATAGTTGTTCTCTGTAATGGGCATTTGTAACATGTGTTGTGGATCACATGAGGAGCATGTTGGTCGGTCATACTCAGGTCACTTATGGGATTTCTCTCTGTAATGAGCAGCATCTATTGCGTGCCGGCCATAGCCACTGCAATTCAATGCTGCAAGCAAGCTGCTGGATTTTGTATCTTCGGATTCAACCGGTCGCTCTGGGTCGACTCAAAAAGTCACTTTGGGTTGGTGTGATCGACTCTTATGCCACTTTGGTTCGACTCTTATGTCACTTTGGTTCGACTCTTATGTCACTTTGGTTCGACTCTTATGCCACTTTAGGTCAGCCCTGAAAGCTACTTGGCCACATCTGTGCCTCTCTGGAGAGAATATCGCTTGGGTATTTTTTTTCATCGACACTTGTTCGTCTTTCCTTCCTTCACGTCTCCTTACAAATGTACAGCTGGCAGCGGTTTTAACTGTACCGGTGCAGAAGTGTAATGGCCAATGAACAACTGTTTCTACCATGGGTAAACTTAATTATTTGATTGTCATAATGTTTTTCCAATTTTAGGGGCCTACTTTTATAAGTGTTCCCTATCACTTGCATACATGAAAGGTAATCCCTCTAATAATGTACATAATGTACTAATTTATATTTCAATTTCTGGAATCCATGTATGTGCTAGTATAGTGAAGTTATCACCCCGATCCTAGAACTACCTTTCATCTCACGTTAAAGAAAGTTGCAGTGATGATTTTATGAGGGCCTAGTATACTTACCGCTTGTATACTTGCATCGAAATCGATTGTAAGGGGCGAGAACTACGTGTCTTTTTCTCCCAATGAAGTCAACGTCAGCTGCGATACTGCCAGCGAAGATAGACTATTCGCAAAGTTCCTCGCCAGCCATTCATGCCGTAACAGAGCATCACCGAGGGCTATTCCCGTTGGCCCCTTGCCCTGAACAACTCGGTAAGAAACGCGCGAAAAGAGCTTGCGAAACGCAAGGGCACAGCAAGACTCGGGAGGAACACGCGAAATGCGTGCGTGGCGTCGCACGGCGAGCAATGTGACTCGGCACAATTCCCATTCCGTGCACTGCTGTCGTTCGTGATGGCCTCGCTCATGTTCATTCATTCCCTCCCCCAAACAACCCAAGAAACAGCATCAGTGCCTATCCACGGGGCTTTGGCTTCACTCACCCTTTCTCTCGCTCCCTCCACGCAATCCTCCTTTTTCGCCTCAACTCACGCGGTCACTGGTCCAGCGTCTATTTAGTTCCCTCTAACCTGTATTTCTCAGCCAATCTCAGCTATTTTACTTTCACAGCTATCCAAATAGCCGGTTCCTTCAAAGCACGAGTTTCGTCAGCTATCTTCAGCGCCGCTGCGCAACTTTTCGCCTTTTGTCTTTTTTTCCGAGTTTTTAAGAATACCAGCTATCGTTAATTCGTTTTTTTCCATTTCTCTCGTCAGCTAGTAAACCGACGACGCGTCACTAGCGCCGATGGCTCCCTTAAAAACTCCTTCCGCTCTCCGAAAACTCCTCGTGACTCTTCTCCTCTTCTGCCTCCTCCCCGCGCTCGCTCCGGTGCGCGCGTTCGAATTCGACTGCGCGAACGAGGTCCGCGAGAGCGTTTCCGTCCTGAGCTTCTGTAACGGCGACGGATGGCGCTACTCGTGTCTCTATGGCGGCGGTTACTCCACGGACGGCTCGGGCGAGTGCACGCGTGTTCAGGCCGGCGCGCTGACCTGCGAGGACTGCGAGGGGAACGCGCACGACCTCCCGCGCTGCTGCGATATAGACCTCTCCGGTTACGAGTTAAGCGCCGGAATACAGGCCAACACGTATGACACCGAGTGGGGAATCACTCTCTTGCAGTGCCCGGGGAATTCTGACTGTGGCGACTTTGGTTACCCGCAGTGTCACGGGGGTGGGTTTGACGGGATCACCCCGTACTGGGTTAATCAATATTCCTATGACAGAGGATACGATTACTGCCCCGAATCAAGTGGAGCGATGCTGCGCGCGATGGAGCCCCGCGCGCACAGCAGCAGCGGAGTGCAGTTGCGCGAATTAGAGCGTCCCGTGGCGGAGATCCGCGCAGAACCGCCGCACCCGATCGCTCCCCTCGGCGACGGCGCACTGGCGGGCGGAAAAAACAAGATGAGCCGCCGCCTATGGGGAAGCGGGCGCCCCTGGTCTCCCCCCAAGATGTATAGCCGCCGCCTGTATGGGAGCGGGCGCCCGTGGTCTCCCCCGAAGATGTACAGCCGCCGCTTGTGGGGAAGCGGGCGCCCGTGGTCTCCCCCCAAGATGTACAGCCGTCGCCTGTATGGAAGCGGGAGGCAGTGGTACCCATAATAAGCAGGTTCGTCACCATCGCCCGCGCAGGGTGTAACTGGTGAAGTGCGAAGGAGATTCGACAGAGCTCGAAGTGACACCAAGGTGGAACACGGTACGAGATTGCAGGAGGATAATTTATTGGGGGAGGTGGGGTGGGGTGGAGGGGGGAAGCGAGAGTTGCGTAGTGAAGTGATAGTGTTTCTGGTTTCTGGTGCAGATAAGTTGGGCTGGGGTTTTGAAATTGGGTGTGCCCTGCGCAACCATTTCCTGTTGATGTGTGCTGAAATAATCGCTTCCAAACCACCTTATTTTGTGGATGGGTAGGAGGTTAGACTGATGGTGGTTTTTTGGTACAGAGGCAGATGCATAGTTGAGTTGTTTGGGGTTCCTGTTAGTGCTAGCTGAACGGGGAGTGTGGGGTTGGTACGGTAGATTACATTACTTTATATTATTGTTGTTCAGCTAGTTTATGCAGAACCTTGAACCTCCAATCAATTGCCAAACATTCATGCACACCAAAAATGGATTATTTTGCTCTGGTCTGGTTGATCAACCTACATAGAGCAGCCGTATAACGGTCTGCAAGAGCAAAACTATTATAATCACCCCTCCCTAGTCCACCAAGTAATCTAGTCCATTCCAATCACTGGTAGCTTGCCTCTATTCTTGAGCTCCAGTAGCAAGCACTGAAGTAAACACCCCCTCCCCTACACCAAACAATCATAACTTATTCTCCTCCCTGATACCTGAAGTACGGCCACTTACAGCTTGTCAGGACTAGGGAATGAGCGAAACTAGAGATGCACACAAGCCACATTGCCACACAACCACACTGCGACAGAGGCATATCGGCCCTCCCACGCCAGCTTCCTTCAAGCATACTGCATTGCAGCCATGGGTGCTGCTGCGTTACCCACAGCATCTACAGCAGGAGCTATGGCAGTGACATCACCACCCCCCCTTCAATCCCATGGTCTCTCCCTCCTATTCCTCCTCCCATCGTTCCTCCCATTCCTCCTATTCCCCCCCCTCCAACTCCTCCTCCCATCACGCCTCCTACACCCCCACCCATGCCCACTCCCATTGTCCTCCGCCCAACACCCCGCGCTCTATGCAAGGGACTCCCAGTTGCTGCCCCTGCTGCCCCTGGTGCTCCTGCTGTCATGCCAAAGCCAGGGGATGACAGGGAGGAAGGTGCGTGGATGCTTCCATGTAGGAGGATTTGGTTGTCTGAAGGAATTCGGTTCTCAGACAGAAGCTGGTTGTCGTACACCTTCCACATGCCCATCACGTGCCCCTCCTGCTGCTGCTGGTGCTGCTGCTGATGGTGCTGGTGGTGCTGCTGGTATGGTTGCTGCTGCTGCTGCAGAATATTGAAACCAGCGTTACCCCCAGCACTCCCGTCCACACTACCACCACTCAAGCCAGGCCTCCCAATTCCAACGCCAACGCCAACGCCCATGCCCCTGCCACCAACACCACCAGCATTGCTGCTAGCCACCACCGCGACTCCTGTGGATGCTGTTGGTCCCGCTCTGTCTCCTCTCTCTGCTCTCTCTGCTGTTGCTGGGTTGGAGAGAGCACCATCAAATGCACTGAAGGGAGGGACGTCGCAGGGCGGGGAGAATGGCTGTGCTAAGCCCTCCACTATGGATGCTGCCGTGTCAACATTCACTCCTGAAATGATGCTTAGTTCCCCCTGCTGCTGCTGCTGCTGCTGCTGCTGGTTCTGTTGTTGCTGCTGTTCGAACGTGCCAGCTTGTAGTTGCTGGTTCATGCTCACTGGGTTGGCCTGGTTGACAGGGCTGACTGGTGGCTGACGTGGCAGGGAGGACGTGGATTGGGAATGAGGAAACGGTGCCACGGATGCTGCTTCCATCTGTTGCTGCAGCAGGTGCTGCTGCTCCTGAAGCGCTGCACTGCTGATGCTGATTACCCGCGAGGCTGACATGCTCCTCCTGCTGCTGCCGTTACCACTGCTGTTACCACCAGCACCGCTGCCAGTACCAGCGCCAGCATTGGCGTTACCACCTCTGCCACCGCTGCTGTTTGGTTTGATGATGGAGCGAAGCACAGCGTCCATCTCTTCATCTGTATCGCTCAGGACAATTGTGTCACTCAAGCCGATTCTGTCGCTGGCTTCGCTGGGGTGCAAGCAGCTCACCTGGGCGGCATCCGCTGTCTTTTGCTGAATGTCTGTGGGGCATGTATAGGCGGCTTGGTGGCGGGGTTGTGCTGCTGCTGATAAAGGCTGCTGTGCCTGTGCCATTTGTTGCTGGAAAGGTCAAGTGGGGAATGGGGAGGGAACAAAGGGGGGCCAGAGCGAGACAAACAATGAGGGGGGAAGAGGAGAAGGTGTTTGGGGACCGAAGGGGGGGAGGGGGAGGGGGGGGGTTGTAAACGGAGGAATGGCAAAGAACAAAATTAGTGCAAGGGGAGAGAAAGAGTGAGTGAACCGAACTGGGAGCGAAGTTTTTCGCCTTGTTTTAGACCTGTCGAAGGCTATAGAATGAAACGTCACAGGTCTCAAACCCAGACATCTAAGATACAGCTAGAAAAGAAACGGCAGTGCGGCTCACCTGAAAAGAGGTCTGTAGCTTGTTTTGTGATGCCTAAAACTTTTACGACGTGTAGACTGCAGCGTCTCAACTTCCAAACTGGGACATCACAATAGCAGTGAGGGAAGAGGCAGTGCAGCTCACCTGGAATGCATGCTGCCTGGCTGCGTGTTGCTGGTGTGGCCAGCCGTTCTGAGGTGGTGCTGGCGCCTGCTCCCCATTCCACTGCTGCTGCGGACTAATCTGATGTTGCTGCTGCGGACTAATATGATGTTTCTGCTGCGGACTCATCTGATGCTGCTGCTGCTGCTGTTGCTGCTGTTGCAGCTGCTCTCTCTCTCCTCCGCCCATATGCCTCAACCCCCCACCACCTGCCCCTCCTACTCCCTGCTGCTGCCGTCGCTGCCACAGCTTCTGCTGTGCGGATAGCCTTGCTGCTGACGCCGGGGAAGGATTTGCGTTGCGCCCTGATACAAAACTAGCGCGCCCTGAGACGAGGCTTGTGTTGGAAACAGGGAATTTCTGGAGCGGGTCGTTCGCACAGGGGACGGTGGAGGAAGAGGATGATGCGACTAGCGGATGCGGAACAGCACCTGCAGGTGTTGGTTCAGGTGGAATCTCAGGTGAAATCTCATATTCCTGCTGTTGGTTCTCGTACTGGTGCTGCTGTTGGTTCTGCTGAGTGCTGCTGCTGGTGGTGGTGCTGCTGCTGGCGATACTGGTGCTGCTGCTGAAACTGCTGCTTTTGCTGCTGCTGGTGGTGGTACTGCTGCTGCTGCTGGTAGTTATGATGCTGCTGGTGCTGCTGGGAGTAATGCTGCTGCTGCGGCACATACTGTGGCTGCTGCACACCAGGCTCATTAACCATGACGCTACTTCCATCCCCCACTCCTTCAATCCCACCTCCGCCCACGGGCACAGACTCTCTTCCCCACGCCCCATTCCCTTCCGCCACACCCCCATTTTCTGACACCTCCATTTCATCCCACCCCATCGTGTCAAACCCCTCAGGCATTGGCAAGGGGAACACATCCAATGCGCCTGCCGCGTCCATAAGCATGTGGCTCGTCTCGAAACCCTCGTCTCCGACAGTGGCAGCAGCATTTCCATGCCCCGTGTCTTTCTCCTCCATCAGCATTTCCTCGAAGGTTCGCCCCTCTGGCAGAAACAGGGCCACGTCATCCTTTCCTCCTGCCAGGTCATTCTCCACAAAGAATCCTTCCCCTCCCACCGCCTCCCCTCCCGCATACCCTCCTGCCAGTCCCAATGCCTCCGCTCCAGCTTCTTCCGCTCCCCCACCCCCTTCGTCCTGCACGCTCCCCCCACTTCCGCCACGCTGAAGGCTCGTGGGCATTCCCCGGCCGGGGGAGGTAGCTGCACCGTTAGCACTCGCGCTGTTAACGCCGCTGAAGCTGCCTTGTGACTGTAGCGGGGCCTTCACAGACCCTTGAGATGCCAGGCTGGAGAAGCTGCCAAATCCGGTCGGCCCAAACCCGCCGCCGAAGCTGCCAAACCCGCCCGCCACGGCCCCTCCAGATGCCCCCATACCTCCGCTCCCCGTCTCTTCACTTCCCCCCATGCCTCCGCTTCCCCCCGTCCCTCCGCTCCCCCACGTGCCAACGCTCCCGCCTGTAAACCCCCCCATGCCTCCGCCTCCCCCTGTTCGTCCGCCAAACCCTTGTTGCACGCCCGGCCCTTGCCGGCCGCCAGAACCCTGTCGCCGAAGCATCCTTCCCGAACCTGTCATGCCCGAGCCTGTCATTGCCGAGCCTGTCATGCCCGAGCCTGCCATACCAGATGACACGTCATCCCCCGTGGATCCCACATGGCAGCCGCTCGAGCTGTTCGTCTCCTGCATGCTCCCCGCTCCCGCGCTAAACGTCCCCCCGCTTAACGCAGCCCCGCTGTAAGCACTCCCGCTAACAATCGAGTGCGAAAACAGCCCGCTCCCTGCCACGCCTCCTCCCCGCCGCATTGCGCGAAGAGACGGGGGCGGGGGAAGAGTCGGCGGAGTGTCTAACGAATCGAGCTTCATTAAAGATGTCGTGGTGGGTAGAGGCCCCGACGTCGGTTTATATCCCGAGTAATTACCCTGCAGCCGTAGCGGCCCAGATCGCGAGGTAAATACCCCTGGAGGCGGCTCTCCCCCTTCCCAAAGATCAAGAGCTTCTGGGTTTAACGGGGCGCTTCTACCGAGAATGAACCCCCCTCCGGAATGCGGCGGTTGCGGGGCCTCGCGGAAAGACATGGGCGGAGTGGCGGAGCGGTGGGGGAGGATCATCTTGCGGACGTGCCTCGGGGGGGAGGAGGACGCGGGGCGGCGGGAGCTGTACGGGCTGCAGGTTCCGGAGCCTCCCCCATCCGCGTCATAGCCATCCCCGTTATCGGACAACGGACCGGATTTTGCTTTGTACTTGTGCTTGCGCTGCAGATCCACCACCTCCATCATGTGTGGATGGTTTACGCTCAGCGGCCCGGATTTTGACTTTTGCTTCTTGTTACTCGCGTTCGCGAATTTCGCCCCTCCTTCGGTGACCTCGCGCAGCGCCTGCACGAGGTCCAGCCCGTGTCGCAGACCGTCGCGCACCTCCGACATGGGCGACCTGGGCGACGCCGGCGACCGTGGCGACATGGGGCGCGACCGCTGCAGCGTACTAGGCCCGTGCGACGACATGGCTTCTCGCGTTTGAATTCCAGGCGTGAACGTCAAATTCGCTAGTCGTAAGCTCGCCAACGCCCGGCCAGGTGTATTTCCAGGTGTGATCCCTGGTATGTTTTCAGGTGTTTTCCTAGGTGTAGCCATCGGAGTAGCTCCAGCATTGTTGAGAACCCCTGGAGTACCTTGCGGTGTTGGCCCCCCTGCCAAAAGCCCCTCCCCTTCGCCTCCGCCGATGCGCGCGGGCGTTCCGGAAGGAGTTACCCCAGGTAGCCCTCCTCCCCCTATTGCTCCCCCTCCCACTCCGTCGGCGCTGCTGAAGGTCTCCGGGTGGACGCGGGAGAACGACTGCGCACGGATGGGGGTTCCCGCGGGTGAGGCCGAGTTTCCACCGCCGCCCCCGCCCTTTTCCGCTCCCTTCTCCGCAGCCCTCTCCGCGGAGATGCGGGAGAATGCTGCGGTAAGCGCGCGCCCGAGAATGTTCCCCTTGGCGCTGGATGGCGTTCCGCGTGCCTTAGAAGCGGGGGTGTTTCCACCGGTGGGAGTTGCGCTGCCCGGTCGCGGGTGGTACGAGAGGGAGATGCGAACTTTCGCGGAACTGGCGAACAGGTTACCAACTTCGTCAAAAGCTCGCAGGTAAAACTCCTGTTCGCCGGCTTTGCCTCTTTCCATGATGTCTCTGTTCCAAGGCAGGGCCAAACAAGGAGAAGAGAGAAAGGTGACAAAGAAGCGTGAAGATAGTAGGTGAACTGTGAGTCGACACCATCGAGGCTTGGGTGAAGCAATGAACAAAGCCATACACAGCTTAGTACGTGAAGCCCCTTCATGACGTCTGGAAAAGGCATAGGACCGAGGGGGATGGAGCGGATTCGTAAGGAAGTTCGAGGAAGGACTTTGAGAAGGAATTTGTTAGCTCAACGAGATCTCGAAGAAAAATTCAGTATAGCTGTTTGACTGGAAAGCCATGATTGCGCGACAACGAACTCGCGCGAAACGCGAATGCATAATCGTCTTGGAGGTTTCCAGGGAAAAAGTAGCACCCAAGGCAATTAAAACTTGTCTGACGAACAGAACCAAGCTGCTGATTGCTCCATCAGAAAGAAAAAGAAAGAAAGAAAAAAGACGTTCTCTGCTGAAAGACACGACGCACGCAAATTACAACCTGGTAACACATAGGAGGTAATATTCATAACCTTGTTGACCTGACGAGAAACTGACCTGATCGGAATCTGGATAAATCCGAGCAGCTGATCGTCTGTTGTACCGCGGTGGTGGCTCGCCATCCATATCTCGCACTTCACTTCCGTCTCGCGCTCAGGCACGCCCACCTGAAGAGAGAAACATCAGGGGGCGATAGAAACATGAGGAGAGGTCTGCTTTGAGTCGTCTCGAAACGCGGTGGTGGCTCGCCATCCATATCTCGCACTTCACTTCCGTCTCGCGCTCAGGCACCCCCACCTGAAGGGCGAAGAAGCACATCAGTGGAGGAAAGAGCATCGGGTGACAAAAGAAACGTGAGGAGGGATTTGATTTGAGCCGTCATGAAAAGCGATGGTGGCTCGCAATCCATATCTCGCTGTTCACGGCCGTCTCGTGCTCAGACGCCCTCACCTGATAGAAAACGGAGGATAGAAAGAGGAACAAAAAGATCGCCAGGAGAGAGCTTGTGCGTAAGGAGGATGCTAGGCGAAAGGAGGTGCATGATATCCATTCACGGCTGTAAAGCTTGATTTTTATTATAGCAGGCTTTCATTTCAGGTCAGAAGAACACCTGTTGCTTTTCTACCGAAGCTACAGACGACATTGAACTCGAAGAACAAATCTAGCGCTCTGATGCATAACCAGTCTACCCGGCTCCCTTATTCTAACCTGAAGGGAAATCTTACTGGAAGGACGTCTAAACAGATGTCTTGCGTATCATATCCCGACTGTCGATCTCTTCCATCCTCTAACCTGGAGTCGTTGGTTGAATATCGGGTTATTTCCGCCTGACTTGATGGTTTTCGTGGTCAGAGCCACTCGTCCGATGTCGTCGCGCTCGCCGCAGAGCACCCGCGCGTACACGTCCTGGGGTCCGTAGTCGCATAGTTCACGCAGTCCTTCCGCCTGAATGATATGGATGTCTAGAATCCCAGCTACTTGAGATACTTTTCGCGCCATAAAGATTAATAAATACTAGTCTAGGGGCTGGGATTTGAACAAGTGGATGCAGGAACGCTGTCGAAGTGCGAATGTCTGAGATTAATGGCTGGTCGTGAACGTACTCTCCGAATTTGCTTCTCGAAGTGTAAGCTAGCCTTTCCAAGAACCTCCGCACGCTAACGTTCTATCCCGGCGCACATTCCATTAGCACCTCCTCAAAAGCTCTTGAGGCTCCTCCTGCTCGGCAAGCGTTGAAAATCGTTCGGAAAACGGGATCAACGTCTGCTTGCGTGATTTCGGAAGCTCTTTGAGATAGGGATTCCGCAGAAAGCTCTTGCTCTAATTTTGTGAACAGCTTCGAGTCCTGATTGTGAGCAGTCTTGGGAGGTGATGGTGGCTCATTCAGACAATCTCAGGAAGAAGCCCCTGAAAGAATGACTTCTCCAGCTGGTAATCTCGATGGGGGAGAGTCATTGGGAATGCCGTTTCCTTGCGCGTCGAGTCATTGGAAGAACTGCCACTGGTGGCGCGTACTGCTGAACGAGTTACGATGAGGATGGAAGGAAACATCGATTGAGAAGAACTGCCGCTGAATGAGACCTGTAGTTTGATTGGGGACATGTCGCGATTTTCAGGGGCTAGATACTGACGAGCTTGTGATGCTGACGATTTCTGGTTGTGTAACTGCGAGCTGCATCTTGCGAGCTACAACAACCGAGGTTTCCAAAACCCTTACTCCAGTCTAGTTATTCGACTCCCTCTCTCGTCCCCACCCTTTGAAGTCTCTTTCGACCCCTGTTAAAGTATTTCCTGGGTTCACCGAAGACACGAAGGGTCGCCTTTGGGGATTGAAATTCGGGGGAAACCACCACTTGTTCTGTAACTAATAGCGGTGCACTTTTAAGTAATTTTTGCTCTTCGTTTAATGCTTGAAGCTGAATAGACCTTTCCTTCCCAGTGTCTGAATGATGAGGTCCCTTTTTTCAAGGGCATCTTTTGGGTGCTTGCACATGGATGATGTGTGCCCTTTCGGCGGAGCGCTCAGGGACGAAAAAACACGGGGGAATGGCGCTTTGCGCATCGAAAGATTTGCCAATGTGGTTCTCGGAGTTGCGCAGGTGGTTCCCGAAGAACAGCTTGATGGGAAATTTGATGGCCGTTTGATTTGGCGGGAAATTTCGACATTGCCGTTGCTGGAAGAATTCTCCGCTTGCTGGAGAGAGCCGAGTGCGAAGGGGTGGAGGAGTGGTGTGCTCGCACGAAAACAGGAGGGCCGTCTAATGATGTGATATCGTCTGACACATCCGCATGAGGTGCAGAATATAAGAACCGCAAGCTAAAAAAATGGAGAAATCATTTTAAAACAAGTTTGCAAATTTACTACCTCAATAACATCATTTCAACTAGTGTTCAGTTGAAGAACTGAAGAACAGGATCACGCGGGAAAATACTTGACGATCCAATGCTCTCTGTGTGAGCACAATGTTGGTGTCTTGATAGAGTTCCCGATGCGTAGATCCCAAAAATAGATTCAGTTCTTGAAACTGACACAATTGAGGCTGACATGTCAGAATGTTGTATTTGTCTAGCCTGCAGTGGGGTACTCTATAGCGAGTACAGCCCAATTTAGGGTTTCCTATATGTATCCTGCTGCTGCTAGTCCAAACCCCTCTTCTTCTGTTCTAACTTTCTAGCTACGATTCTGACATGCTATCAGAGCGGTTACGCTCCTGGCCTGTGGGCCCACCTGCTTCCGCTGCTGTCCTGTCTGTCGCGCGCCTCATGGCGCGCGACGTTTTTTCTTCCCGCCACGCGCTCGGAGCGCGGCGGTTTTCTGCCCGCCGTGCGCCCCGAGGCGCGCGGCGGTTTCCTGCCTCACGCGTCACCTCGGGGACCCGCGCGTCCCCCCCGTCGACCGTCGCGCCGCCCCCGGGGACCCGCGCGTCCCTCCCCGTTGACCGTCGCGTCGCCCCCGGGGACCCGCGCGCGCCCCCCGCGATCCCGTCGCGTCGCCCTGGGGACCCACGCGCGGCCCCCGCCATCCCGTCGCGCCGCCCTGGGGACCCGCACGCAGCCCCCTGCGCTCCCGTCGCGCCGCACTGGGGACCCGCGCGCGCCCCCTGTGCTCCCGTTTCGCCGCCCCGTGCTCCCGTACGTCGTGAGGCTTCTTCCTCCCCGCGGGTGGCGAGTGTGGGGGTGGCGAGTATGGGGGTGATGGGTGTTCGAGGCCTCCCCTGCTCCTCCTCCTCCTCCTCCTCCGTCTCCCACTGCTGCAGCTGCCGCTGGGGGGGGATGTGTGGGAGCCGTCGGAATGGTACTAGGGGGGTGGCGTCTGCGTAGTGCTAGGGGTACAGCAAGGGGTGTGGGACAGATGGGGGAGGTTGAGTGGAGGTCGCCGTCGTGTCGTCAGCAGCGCCAGTAGTCCGGAGCCCTCGTGCTCTCGGTAGCCCAGCGAGCCTGCTTCGCCAGTCGCCTGTGGGTCCGTTGCTCCTGCCGCTCGTCGTAGCCGCGGAGCCAGATACTCCCGTAGTCCGGTGCCCTCGTGCGCTCGGTAGCCACTGTGCGCGCCGCTCCTGTTGCCTGTGTGTCTGCAGCTTCAGTCGTCGCCTCCCATCTTCTCGCCCTCACAGTCTCTCCTCCTCCTCACTTGCCCTCTATGATAGCCTCTAGCTTTGCTTATCATTGTGAACTATTGCTCTGCCTGCTTATTGTGCTGATTACACCCCACTTTGGCTATGGGGGTGTGTCAGAATGTTGTATTTGTATAGCGGACTTGCAGTGGGGTACTCTATAGCGAGTACAGCCCAATTTAGGGTTTCCTATATGTATCCTGCTGCTGCTAGTCCAAACCCCTCTTCTTCTGTTTGAACTTTCTAGCTACTGTTCTGACATGACATTGTTAGTATTGAAAATCCTTGACAAGGGTGACGACTAGACATGGCGAAGAGCTTGGTACGGAGAACCAGGAAGGTGGTAGTGGTCTTTACAAGGTGCTGAGAACCAGAGAGGCATCCCTTCCCCTCATGCATGCGCGAATAGGAACGTGCGAATAGGACTCGCTGTTGCTGATCCGATCGCGAGGAGACACTCGCAAATTCCCTAGCCCACCACAGCATCGTCGCTGCGAAACAGTGGTTGTTTTTTCACGTTCATTTCGTTTATGAACTGCACGTGCTTATCAAGACATTGCTCTGTTCGTCCTTAAGAAGTTACGACGGTTCCAGCGCTATTTCCAAGGGAGCGAAAAGAGAACGACGCTCATGCAAAGCAAGGCTGCAAAATCAAGTGCAAGATCATTACCAATCGAAATGTCTTCGGATTATCGTCGTTTTCTGCCATTCAACATAAATCAAAACGACAGCAGCATCGCAAGTCTCACCGAAAGAGACGGATTGAAGTTTTTTCGTCATCGCAAAGCATGTCGGGGGTGCATCACGATTTTCCTATTTTAAGCTTGGCTAGTGAATGTTTCGAGGTCGAAGATGCTTCTCGTAATACAACTCTGGTCGACGCAATGACACCTAAAGCTAGATAAAGGGAGTTGCAGATGAAGAGAGTGGAAGGTTACTCTGACTTAATGATTCGGAAAAACAAGAGGTTTGAAGTCGAAGCTTCTAACGCTGAGAATTTCTCTACGCTACAAGAGACATTTTTCCATTTGGAGGATACCGGCGAAGTCGCCAGATTGTTTCCGCGCCATGAATCAGGGCGAGCTACTGGAGGTGATTTTCTCTCTGAAGGTGCTTTGCTCTCTGCTGCTCCCATCACACCACTCACGCAGTTGGCTCGAATGGCTGCGATGAAGATACGAAACATCTGTTCCCAAGGCCTGCCAGGCAGCAACTTGAAGCAGGGCAACTTTTGCTGTAACCCAAGCGTAGTCCTCAGTGTGTTGTGCCACTCACGAGGCGCTTGGCAGGCGGAGACCGTAGACTGGCCGCCAGAGGCTCCAAAGAGTACCTTCAGGAAACGACTCTGTGAAGCCAGGTGGGCGGCGCAGCCAGATTTCCTCGTGCAGGCTGCCCTGCAAGAAAGCTGTACAGAAGTCAAGAGAGTGAAGCTGGTAGTCACCAGTGACCTCGACAGGCTCAGCTAAGGGAAGTGGGTCTACCTGAGAGACACCTGAAGGAGCAGGACCCTGAGGGGGGAGGGGGTCTACCAGAGGGGGACCTGGAGCAAGGAAGAGCGGCGGGGGGGGGGGGGAGAGGGGCAGTGCGGTAGGGGAAGAGACGGTAGAAGGGGACCGACTCGTCAAACGTGTCGTCCTGAGATGCAAAAACCCAGCGCGAGGTGGGGTGGTAAAACTGCCAGCCAGGCGCGTCAGTGGGAAAGCCAAGGAAGACGCAGGGAATGGCGCGAGAGGAGAGCTTGCCCGTGGTGGAATCGCGGACAAACGCACTGGAACCCCAGACCCGGAACACCGACGCATCGCCAACCTCCCCCGTCCAACGAAGTGTAGGCAAGGTCTCCGGCAAGGAGACACGGGGCCAGAGGTTGAGCTGATGCGCCGCGTACCGGACCGCAAACGGCCATAGAAAATGGGGAGCAGCCGCATGGATCATGGAGGTACGAGCGACCTCCATGACTAAGCCAATGCGGCGCTCAGCAACCCCATTCTTCTGCGGAGAGGCCGGAAGCGTGAACGACTGGTGAATGCCCTCCTCCTCACAAAAGGACCCCAAGAGGCCAGAGGAGAACTCACCACCCCTGTCAGAGTGCAGACGCAGGACAGGAAGGTCCGTGCGGAACCGCTCGCGCAGCTGGAGACGGACAGCTCGGATCCAAGGGATCAAAACAGCAGGGACCTCACCCTTGCTGCGCAAGGGGAAGACCGTGGTGTAACGCGAGTAGTCGTCGACAACCAGAAGGAGGTATCGCTCGCGGCCCTGTCCCTGGACGCGGGCTGGGCCCCACACGTCCATGTGGAGAGTATGCAGAGGGGCTGTCATCGGGGGAAACGAGGAGGAATGAGGAGCGGCGCGCTGCCGCCCCTCGACGCAAGGAATGCAGGGCGGGGCAGGCGAGGGCGGGAGGGAAGGCAGAGACCTGGGAAGACCAGAGACCAGAAGGCGAGAGTGCATGCCACGAAGGCGTGGCAGGGAGGGGTGACCAAGGCGGTGGTGCCAAAGGAGAGTCTGGTGCGACAGGCGACGACACTCACAGGGGGCTGCTATTGGACCTGACGGGGACACCTGAGCAGACGCAGCGACCTGAGGCGGCGCAGTAGTCAGTGTGTACAGACTCGACCCCGGCCGACGAGTGAACGTGGCCAGGTGACGGCCAGTCCGAGAGCACGTACAGATCGCCACACGCTGCCATCCAGGTGTAAAGGTATCAACCCCTGCATCCTGGAGGACTGCGTTGCTCACCAAGTTCGTCGAGAACGAGGGGAGGTGGAGACCTGATAGGGAACCTGGCGGAACGGCCGGGCACGGGAGCACAGTAGAGGAGCGTGCAAGAACTGGGCCCCCAGAGGGTTCAGCCAGGGAAACTGCAACATGCCTGGTGAGTGGTGTGCGAAAGAAGCAGCGAGAGGCACCTGAGTCAAGCGTGAAGGTGTGCGAGGTCTTAGCAGGCGTAGTACCAGAGAGCCAGACTCACTAGCACAAGTAACAGTCACCCTCAACACTAGTAGACACAGCATACATTCCAGCAATGGTAGCATCAAAGTCAAGAGCAGCAGCCTCTATACCAGGGTCATACGGCGCACACAAGTAACAGTCACCCTCAACATTAGTAGACAGAGCATAAATTCCAGCAATGATAGCATCAAGGGCAAGAGCAAAGATATCAACACCAGTCCTAAGCAGCTCTGCCCAGCGAGGCAGCTCAAGCTCGTCGCCCATCTCCTGACGCCAAGCGTCGTCTAGGCGGGAGAAACAGCGGTGCTGAGTATGAAACTTCCCGCACTTCTGACCAGCGCGAGAACCTGTGCGAATAACGTACGAGCAGCGACCACTACCACCACCCCTAGACGCTGCATGCTGAGCAAGCCACTCACGAAGCTGCTAAGGCGAGGGGGTCTCACGCAGACGCTGCTGCTACTGCCGCTGAACTCTGCCAGAGCGATCACCACCGCCGCCGCTGCCACCACTCCCGCCGCTGCCACTCCCGCCACCACTGCTCCCACTACCACCACGACCACTGCCCCCACCACCCCCGCCGCCGCTGCCACCTCCGCCGCCGACGCCCCCACTCGCCCCACCACTCCCACCGCCACCTCCACCACCTCCGCCACCCCAACCACCTCCACCAGCACCCCCCCCCGCTGCCACTCCCACCACCCTTGCCTCCCTTGCCCTTGCCGCTGCGGCGCTTCCCACTAGGAGCAGAAGCAGCGCCGACCTCCTCAGCACCAAGGAAGTTGACAACAGTGGCAGAGGCAACAGAGGGGGCAAGGGGGGAGGGGGAACACCCCTCAAAGAAGGGTGTGCCAGGGGTGCCACGGGTAGCACCTACAGCGACTATGTTAGCCTCAGCTGCAAGAAGGTGCTTCCCTAGCAGGTCGATGGTGAGGTCTGTGGGGGCGAGGGCGAGAAGGGTGTCCCGGACTGCACTAAGAGAGTCAGGGAGGCGGGTCACTATAAAGTGGAGAGTGATGTAGATCGGGGGCTCGTTCTTGGGGAGGAACTCGGCAGGGAGGGCAGCACAGTAACGAGTCTCCATAGCGCGAAGGTGGGAGATAAGGTCGTCTACAGTGGCGAAGGACGACATGTCGGGGAAAAGGTAGGGAAAGAAGAGGCGACTTAGCGCTGCAGTGGCAGGGGAATAGTAACGTGCAACAACAGCGTCGTAGAGGGCCTTAGCAGTCTTTGCCTGGTCAAAATGCTCGCATTCAGCTACCGGCAGGTGGTTGCGAATGGCTAGGCGAGCAGCAGCATCACGGGTAAGCCACTGCGAGCGAGTCATCGTGTTAGCTGAGGATGGTGGGGCAGTGGAGGCACCAGTCGCTAGGTCATAGAGCGAAACACCGTCCCTAGCGTCGCTCAGCAGGTACAGCTGCAGGTCCTGGAGCCAGGTTTCGAATTTGACTAGGCGGCCGTCAGGATCGAATGCGAGAATACGCAGAGTGGCCATAGTTTAGCAGAGTAGTAGCACAGCAGGGTGAGGCTATAGAGTTTGCAAGTAGGCAGCAAGGGCTGTGCGTGAGGCTACAATGGCGGCACACGAGGCAGAGCAAGGGCAGCGCGAGGGCTGCAGAGAAAGGGCGCGGGCTGCAAGGGCGGCGCGCGGGGTAGGGCAGAGGCAGCGCGAGGGCTGCTGGGGCAGGGTGCGGGCTGCAAGGGGCTGCGCGCGGGTGGGGCAGAGGCAGCGCGAGGGCTGCTGAGGGTGCGCGCGGGGCAGGAGATGCGGCACGCGGGCTAGGAGAAGCGGCGCGCGCGGCTGCAGGGGCTGCGTGCGGGGCAGGAGATGCGGAGCGCGGGGCTGCCTGGGCTGCGTGCGGGGCAGGAGGAGCAGTGCGCGGGGCTGCTGGGGCTGCACGCGGGGCAGGAGGTGCGGCCCGCAGAGGCGGCACGCGGGGCTGCTAAGGGGCCGCGAGGGGTAGGTGAAGCAGCGCGCGGGCTGCAGGGGTTGTGCGCGGGGCAGGAGAAGCAGCGCGCAGGCTGCTGGGGCGGCGCGCGGGGGCTGCTAAGGGGTCGCGCGCTCGGCAGCACGGGCGGTGCGCGATGCAACAGAGGTAGCGTGCATAGTTGCAGGGGCGGCACGCGCGGGCGGTACAGGGCAGGGTAGGCTGTGGGGTAACGCGGTAACCGGTGGGCCCTAAGAGAAGCGGTCCTACGGACCTACTGCTCTGATCGCATGTCAGAATCCTAGCCAAGAATGAATGAAACTAATGAAAGTTGGGTTGGGGTATAAAAGGAAACCGTAGAAAGAGGTGTACCCCATGTAAGCTACCCCACTACAGCCTACAAATAACAGACAGTAGTACAGTTTGACACCAACCAAGGTTGAAGAGTCAAATTCGTCACCAAGGCCCTGTTCAGCAGCAGCGAGCCAGAGCTGTTTTTGTTATAAACCAATCTTGGCAAGGCAGGTTCGGAGCCAACTACTCAAAGTTGAAGCGACACACTCAGCAGCAGGATACAGAGGCGTTTGTGGCAGTGCTGAAGTGTGCCAACGGCACAATAGGAGTCTATAGCGGGCAGATAGAAATTTTTAGGCGTTTAGTCTATAAGCCTCCATAGATATCTCAGAGGGTACGGTATACATTACCAATGCCCTCTAGCTACGGTTACGACCGACCGTGTTTTTGCGTTGTATAATGCATTTTCACCTACCAAAAAAAAAAAATGTTCAGTTGAAGAAGCTCAAGGAAGCCGAGCAAAGGGGCGGAGGCAGTTGCGGGGAAACGGGCGAAGTGGGAAGCTCAGGCGGGCAGGAAAATTGATTGGGAACGGGGGAGGCGCATCAGAGACTCCTTCGCGATCCTGTCCATGGCGAGAGATGTCCTGCTACGTGTGCAGAATCTCAACCTCCAGGTGTGGGAGAGGGTCTCTTTCTTGGGGGGAGGGATGACATGTCCGCACTGCGGGGGGGTAGAGACAATGGAGCACTGCCTGTTGGAGTGCCCGCGCATTGCACCGGTGGTGGCTGCGGTAAAGGCGGCGCTAAACATGATGCAGCCAGCGAGATATGTGGGGCGGAGGAGACGAGGTCAGGTTTTCCGGAAGCGACGATGATGGCGTTTATTGTTCATCAAATCTGTTCTCCCGAGCGAGTGCAGTAGGCAAGGGGGCAGCCGAAGGTGCCCGGAGCACCCCAGGGAGTGCAGCAGGCTGGGGGGCAGCCGGGGGTGCGCGGGGCACCCCAGGGAGTGCAGTGTTGGAAACATATAGTTTGCGCTTCTGAAGTATCAAGCATCACGCCGTAAGCGAGACGAATTACAGCGAAGCAATAATCGAGTCAACCGAGGTGGTTGACACAAAGCAACAGCAACAGGTTGAGCGAAAGTCAAAGTTCAGCGACCTTTGACTTACCGAAGGCAGCGCGACAGCAAGGACAAATAACTGACTCGCTATTGAGCAGTTACCCGAGTCGTCGCTGTATCGAACCGCAACAATAGTAACAACAGCAGTTAGTTAAACTTTTCATATTCCCTTGAAATCATATAAATGCTTGTATCTCTTTGTTTTAATCAACTTATCTTGTCCTCATACACCAGCACAAGGTGGTTCAAACCAGTTCACAAAGAACGCTTCTGCTAATTACATCATCCAAAGTCTTAGCCTTGAAAAGATCCTAAGGGCTTTTTCTCAGCCCAACATGGTATGAGAGCCTGGAAGACAAGATTCAACGTTTCTCAACTCTTTACAATGACAGAAGATATGGCTACGCAGAAAGAGCACCGCTCATCTACTGGATCCCCTGGTGCTACTCCTACTCCACCTCCAGCCTCTGGACTCCAGACAGAGGGAGGCTCAAACCAAAGACCAGTTGCTGAATCCACTGAAACACCTGTAAATCAAGCAACCGGCTTCGATCCGAGCATGATGGAGAAATTCTTCTCGTTCATGTCGTTTTACGAACAACAGCAACAAGCGGTACCTGCGCAGTCCAACAACAACAACAACAACAACAACAATGGTGTTACCCCCACGAGCCTTGATGGCTTATCGTTTGCGCGCAGAGACCTGCAACCTACCTTTGCGCCGCACGAACCTCAACGCGGCTCCATCAGCTTCATGCCAAATCGACTCCCAGTCAAACCTGGACAAGAAACAAAGCCAATGGATGCGCTTCAGCCGCAATCACATTTTGCACACGTTTTAAAGCTGCAAACGACAACACCCTTCGATGGAAAAGACTTTTATACTTGGTCCTTCGAGTTCGAGCTGATGATAAAAGGCGCGCAAATCCTCGGCTTCTTCGACGGGTCCTTGCCATATCCAATGCACGGGACACAATACGACAAGCAACAATACATGTATCAATCGCTAATGGCATATACAATCCTCTTACGGAACATAACGGCGAACGAGCAGCAGAACATCCGGTCTTATCGAGGATACGGAAACTCCACTGAGCTTGCGTACAACCACCTGAAGAACCTGTATTAAGCAAACGACAACGTTAATCAGAGTCGTCTCATGGTGTAGCTGACAATAGTTCAAATGCAACCCGGTGAAAAAGCAATGGCGTAAATCAGCAGGTGTCGAGATCTGCGCGACAGACTCCATCGATGCGGCGGCGCGTTATCCGAAGAGGCATTCGTCACCGTCGTCCTCGCAGGTCTCGGAACCAAGTGGCGTTCCACGCGAGCCATCCTTCGACGCCACAAACAAATCTCCGAAGCAGCCCCCTGCGCAGAGTTTCACGCTGAACAGCAAGACATGGACCTGTACAAGGAACGACACAGGAACGACACATGGACCTGTACAAGGAACGACATGGTGCCATCAGGCCGTAGCTTCTTCTTCAGTAGCCACTTGACGCCGGCTGTTTTGCGACCTTCGGGTAGGTCGGCCAACGACCAAGTGCCTTGCTCATCAAGGCTCTCCATCTCCTCCTTCATAGCAGCCCACCATTCCTTGCCTTCAGGTCCGGTCAACGCAGCTGCCAGGTCGAGGATGACACCTCCCCAAGCGCCTTCCTCCTCCTCATCCTCGTCCGGGTACTCCACTTCATCATCGCTGTCCGTGTCGCAATCGTCCTCAATAAGGTACGACACATTGTACGGATTGTCCTCATCGTCCGCATCCTGGGCCGTCATGGGTGATGGCTGAAACCGTACGGGTGGCACCCCCTTGTTGGGTCTGCTGGAGCGACGTGGGGGTTGTGGAATGGGCTGGAGGGAGGAGTTGCATGTGAATGCTCATGCTCATGGGCCACTAGTGGATGCTCATCCACTGCTACCTCTCCTTCGTCCTCATGAGCAGTCGTGTCGCCTCCGTCCTCAAAGGGACCACCCGCGGGTCCTATGGGCGCCAAATCAGCAATGGAGGGTGGACCAAGAGGAGGAGGTGCAGTAGGTGCCTTGCTGCCCAAAGGGCCCACCGAGCGATCAAGGGGTTGCTCGCCCCCTTGCACGGACGGCACCGGGACCACGATGACGGTACGTGGTGGCGGCAGATTCTGCTCGGGGTCATGGGGATCAGGAAAAAGAGATGGGACTGAAGAAAAGGATGGTTTGGGCTGGTCATATCCGTCACCCGCGCGTGCACGCCACTTCTGCCACCTTTCAAGTGACATATCCTCATAAAAACGTGCATCCCGGGTGATGACCATGCGCTTTGACTCAACATCCACCACACGCCATCCCTTGCTTTCCATGCTCATGCCCAAATGCATGCCCCAACGAGTCTTGCTTGCAAGCTTCCCCTCACGCTCATGCTCAGGAATGAGGTACTGCACCATGCACCCAAACACACGGACCATGGACACATCGGGCTTGACTTTGAACACCACCAAATGAGGGGTCACACCATGGGGCAGGGTGGACTGGTGCACACGGTTTACCACCCATAAGAACTGCTGGAAAGCGAAGTGCCACCAGTGTGCTTTCACCCCCATGTGCCCCAACATCACACGCATGCCCTCGGTTACCGTAAGGTTACGTCGTTTAGCCACACCGTTCTGCTGGGGGGTGGAGGGGCAGGAAAGTTGATGCAGGATTCCTCGTTCCTTCAGCAGCAGCAGGGACTCGTTTGACATAAACTCTCCTCCCCGGTCCGACCGCAACACCTTCAGCGTCATTCCGGTCTGGCGTTCAGCTTCAGGAAGCCATTCCTTGAAGGCAAGAAGCGCGTCGCTCTTCAGCAATGTCTTCCCCCAAGTGTACCGTGAGGCATGGTCCACAAAAAGAATGTAGTACTTGCTTCCATCCATGGCTGGGGTCTGAAATGGACCGCACACGTCAGTATGGACCAGCCCAAGAACCTGCTCCTCTCGCTCGTCGTGCAGCGGAAATG